TTAGCATCTGACTTAGTGGTGATTTCTCTTTACGTGGATGATATGCTGGTAACAGGGAGTAATAATTCTCAGATTACTGCATTCAAAAGGGAAATGATGAAAACGTTTGAAATGACTGATCTTGGTGAGATGTCATATTTTTTGGGGATGGAGGTTAGACAATGGAAAATGAAATTTTTATCTATCAAAAGAAGTACTTGAAGGAGATTCTGAAAAGATTCAACATGGAGGAGTGCAAGAGTGTAAGTACTCCAATGGGTCAAAAGGAAAAGTTTCAAAAGAAAGATGAATCAGAATCTACAGATGAAAGAGTTTATAGGAGTTTAATTGGCTGCCTTATGTATCTCACTGCAACTAGGCCAGACATTATGTTTACCGTAAGTGTCTTGTCTAGGTTTCTTAATTGTCCAAGTGAACTGCATATGGTAGCTGCAAAAAGGGTGCTAAGGTACTTGAAAGGTACTCTTTCATATGGAATCAAATTCTGCAGAATTCAGAAGTTTAAGTTGCAAGGGTATTCTGACAGTGACTGGGCTGGATCAGTGGATGATATGAAAAGTACTTCGGGTTATTGTTTTACATTTGGGTCAGCTTGTTTTTCTTGGTGTTCAAAGAAGCAGGAAATAGTGGCCCAATCAACTGCAGAAGCTGAGTTCATTGCAGCTACTGCAGCTGTAAACCAAGCATTATGGTTGAAGAAGCTGGTGGATGACCTGCATTTGGAGCAAAAAGAAGGCATAGAAGTATTTGTGGATAATCAAGCTGCTCTAGCTATTTCACAGAATCCAGTATTTCATGGAAGAACAAAGCATTTTAAGATCAAGTATTATTTTTTGAAAGAAGTGCAGAAGAATGGAGAAGTGAAGCTAATGTACTGCAGTTCAGAAAATCAAATTGCAGATATATTCACCAAGTCATTTCATCTTAGTCGATTTGAATTTCTCAGGGTGAAGCTAGGAGTGTGCAGCACTTGATCCAGGAGGAGAATGTTGGTGTTTCAAGGCTGTTGTTGATGTCCTATTTTTTAGGAGTTAATTAGTTGTTGTTTTTTTTAAATTAATTAGTCTTTTGTTTAGGAGTTTGTTTACTGCATGGTATCTCCCTCACAAATATCTGAGAAAGAGCATATTGTTGGTGTTTCAAGGCTGTTATTGCTTTGTTAGTTTGTTGCTGATTTTGTGGACCAACAAAATCAGCTGGTTAGTAGCAACAGCATGAGCTCAGTTTTGTATTTAAAACAAGTTCATTAGTCAGAATAAAATATAAGCTGTTGCACAATATTATTTCTGATATTTGTTTTTCTCATAAAAGATCGACACATACAGATTCTACAAAATTCTACCAATCTTTAAATTGGACATCTCGATCAACTTAGGATTGAAGACATTTTATTTTTGGGATATGACAGAAGCTCTCTACCACATGATTTTGTGGCATCTTAATCAAGAAATTTTCGTTACGGCATATTTGTCTCTAGATCATAGGGTGATAAGATAACATAATAATTGATTTTCCTATGTGACGTGAAGGGTTACTCTATAGAGATTAGTATATGCCATTTTACGCTTTCAATTTCTGTAGTAAGCCAGAAGCATTTAAACTCATTCTAATGGTTCCGTAAACTATATTACCATTAATGGATCTTAAAAGCTGTATTTGATGGTGAAGGATTATTGAGGAAAGCAACAGTTCATTTATTTCTTTTACTTTTTTTACTTGAAAAAACGGTCAGATATTTCTTTAACTTTAAATACAGCTCGAAAGTGGTGGGTCAGAAAGAGTATCTCAGTCGTTGGCTATTTTTCTTAGAACAAGATTTGTCCCATCCTCTTTAATTCACCCCCAAAAAATTCTTTCCTCTTTCATGGTTATAACTTGATGAAACATGTGAAGTAACTACTTATTGGAAGCATATAAATTTATTATTTAGATAAAGAAAAAGAGGGTGAGAGATGGACAAAACAAGCTAGAAGAGAGTAGCGGGAAGAATAAAGGAAGAACATAGCGACTGGATTTAGAAGCCAATAAACGTTTTCTTTTTAAACTTTGAAAGGAGGGTTAGCTCTAGGTAGATATGACTGGTTTAAAGTGAGTTTCTTTTTAAAGTATATATTAGTGGATTAAAATTACAGTGTTCTTTAATTTAAATCGAGAGTAGTACACTTTTATTTGTACGCTTCACTCTAAACAAGTTTTATCCGAGTATAGACAATACAAAGAGAGGTAAGAAAAGCATAAAGAAATTGCATTAAGCACAATAAACCAAGACTATAATTTTTATTGCATGGAGTGAAGAGCTTGGAATTCTAAAGACCGTTAACATAAAGAAAGTGCTGGAACATGAAAGCCTGTTATTGGTTGGTTTGTTTTTTCATGAGTGGTTGCCATTCCCCACCTTCTTCCAAAATTCTCTACTTTTAATGGCTTTCTTGTCTCTGTTGCATTAGCATTCTAAATGAGTCACTCACTTCTACCTTTTGTTTTGGTTGCCATGTCACCAATGTTATTTTAGTGACACTTCTTACATAAGTAAAGTAGACTCTATAAATGTTCGTTCATTTGTTTGTTTTTCTTTTTTTTGGATATTTTTTTCACCAAAACCAGAGAAAGAAAGAGAAAATCACTGTTCATGTTTACATTGCTTCAGGGTATATTTTAGTACCAGTTTTTCATCGAAAAAAAAAATGTAAAAAATCATTCCCCATTGATCCTCGACTAGTTAAGCTAGAGACGAGGATAATCCTAGTACGCGAATATTTGCAAAGAAACTATTTTCAGGATTCGAAACTATTACCTTTCTATCACAATGGATTGAGTTTTTGATGGAACATCTCAGAAAAACAAGTTTTCCCAGTAAAATAAAACCAGAAGGCTGTTGGTTCAATTATGCAATATGTCTTAAGATATGGTACAAGGACATGTCAGCAAGGTGAGATGACGTGGCAGATGAATAAAGTGTTTCAAGACACAGGTTCGGTCTTTGTTTGGTGAAAAAGAGCAAGACAATGATAGGGAATGTAAGGAAACTCTGAATGTAAAGATACTTGGCTTCCCAAGAATATTGTTCCAATTAACTTTTATTCAAACCAGTGAGATTCTTCAAAAACAGCCTTATATATTGCTTTCATAGCATGCTTATGATTAAGGTGAATCTTAAACTTCCCCTACATGTTCTGGGCTTCTTATGCTTTTTGCTTTTAGACTTCCAAATCCCATAGAAGATAAACTGCAGGACTATTCTTGCAGGCATGAGCAATAAGAAATAGGGAGTTACAATATCAGACACATTACCTACTCCTCTTATTTGCTTCAAACTGAGAAGGCTTTAGTTCCCACAAATATCCATAGCAATAAACATGAGTTTCTTGACTTTCAGAGGATTCTTTATTTTAGTCTGTGTTGGGATTTTTGCTTCTCAACCACACATGGTTTCTTGCCTGAGAAGCAAAGATCTTGCTCTGCGATGGGATAACAGGCAACTACCACTTGTTCAAATTTCTCATGTGCTAAATGCTGTTAGAATGGAGGATTTGAAATCAAAGCTGGATTTGGCACCTGCACCTTCAATGACATTTGATCCTAATCAATCAAACAAAAGGACAGTTCAAAACGGGTCAGACCCAATTCACAACAGATGTTGACATGCCACGGTTATGTCCTTTTTTATGCTGAGAAATGACGAGTTCTTTCCCTAGAGCGAAAACAAAAGTAATTGTTCTTTGCTTCCTTAACCATTTCTAAATGAGGTTGATTGATTTTCTACCTTTTGCTTCCCATTTGTTTTTAGTTTTGTTGAGTCAAGATGTCAGGTGAAGAATTGCAGCTGAAACTCATCTTTGAGTCAGCATCATTTCTGATTGTGTAGAGAAATCATAGGTATTGACCAACAGCTAGTTAGTTTAATGATATTGTTAGCTATCAAATACAGAATATAGTGAATTTTTCTTCCTTTTTTATGAAAATAAGAATATATATATATATATATATATATATATATATATATATATATATATATATATATATTGCTCTAGTCACGGTTGTACTTGTCCCACTAATATGTTGATACTTTTTCCTGCATAACACAGTTGCTAAAGGCTTATATGGACATGAAATCATCATATTATTTGTGTTATTTAGGTGCATTTCACTCCTATAATTGATCCATGCTTGCATTAAGTAAGATCAAGAAGCAGTTCGCACGTGAAAAGCGTAAGTTTCTCCAGATTTTAAATCTATTCTACCCTGGAGACTTATTTCTTTGCACACCAATAGTAGTCAAACACCTCACATCGCATGGAAAATGCAAATCGTGGTCAACAATATCATGACAATCACACTAATACCGGTTCTAGAGGGGGGGAAAGTACTGAGAATTTGTGAATATGATTGAAGTTTTTTTGTTATAATTTTTGTTAAAGAACCTTGAGATACACCACCCTAAAAGCTAGCTCAAAGGGTGGGAGTGCCCGAGGTCTTATAAACTCCCACGTGGATTATGCAACAGGCCCAATCTTTGGTTTACCTTTTTTGTGCTTCCACTTTAAAGTGGGGGCGGTGAGGATCGAACCTCAAGCTCTGATAGTAAAGAACCAATTCAACCCAAAAGCTTAAGCACATTAATGGTTTTATATATCTCAACACGCCCCCTCATACGAGAGCCCACTGGGCTTGAAGGGTGGACAATGCACAGGCCCACCTACCTGTGCGAACAAAGAAATTCCACTTGAAAGAAAGTGGGGGGCGACGAGGCTCTGATACTATGTTAAAGAACCTTGGGATACATCACCCTAAAAGCTAGCTCAAAGGGTGAAAGTGCCCAAGGTCTTATAAACTCTCACGTGGATTATGCAACAGGCCCAATATTTGGTTTACCTTTTTTGTGCTTCCACTTTAAATTGGGGGGCGGTGAGGATCGAACCTCAAGCTCTGATACCATGTAAAGAACCAATTCAACCCAAAAGCTTAAAGTGTTGAGTGAGGCTACATTAATGGTTTTATATATCTCAACAATTTTTCCTAAAACTCATGCCAAGAAGAGAAGGACAAATTATGTGATATACTTCAACTTTAAAAAAAATAAAACTAATCTCTTTTTCATTAACAAGATGAGCTATCCGGTAAGGGGGGGAACCAACAATGAAAAGGGCGAGTAGGAAGCTTGCTAGTCGGAAATAAATGAAACTAGGTATGTGTATCTCCCGCTGATATGTTCTATGTGACCAAGGTGAACTGATTCCTACGCAAGAGAATCTCAGTATTTAGTTAGTCTTAAGAAAAAGCTGAGATCTCTGGTATCTGTTCTTTCTGTGCACATTGAACTGCAATGAAGATATCTTACGTTTAACTTGCTGCCAAATCATATTGACTGCATCCCCAGGCTGGGATGGATATTGATACTCAAAGTGATGTGTACTCTCCTTCAATCTTTCCCACATCTTGGTCCACTCCTCCCGCTTGATTGAATGAAGGAGATTCAGCAGATAGCCTTTCTTTACAGCATCAGAGGCACGGACAAACAAGGAAAATTTTGAGTAGTCCAAGACATCTTCAAATGGTAGCTCAATTTCATCACTAATGATCACAGGAACACAGTGGCTTACTATGGCATCAAAGAGGCGATTCGAGGATGGGGTATCTCCAGCAATGTTCAAGCAGAATTTGGACAAGGCCATTCCCTTGCTTGCCTGATTAATCCCATTTCCTCCTATGCTCCCAAATGTAAAATGCACATCTTTCTCATCTTTGAGGAGGTAATACAGTTCTTGGCGAATAGTTCCTCCCTAGAGTTTCAACATGAGAATTTAATCAATTAAAATGAAGAAATATTCATCTGGGACATCTAGAATCAATACAATAAAACTGATGAGGGAAGTAGTAACAATTGAAAGGCAGCGGAAATCATGTCACTACAAAGATTCCCAGAAAGTAATCTTAGCAGAATGTGTTTTAGTATTCCGATAAATTGATCCAGAATCATGTGCCCCATCTATGTATATAGATGTCAAAGAAAAACTCAGTAGAATCATCAGGAAAACAACCATCAAGTGTTTCTGATATTGGCAGCATGAATATATAATATTCTCTTGCTCCACCTCAGAATTGAAGGTTTGAGTACTAGCTATAATGGTCTCACCCGTGCTGATTCAATTTCTACATGAATATATATTCAACTAATACATTGTATATTCATTGGCGTCAGCTCAGTGACACTGATATTTATATCCCGATTGCTTTTGTAAGTTCAATAAAAATGACCTACAATCTACATCTTGAGAGAGGTGCACTTAGAGCCAAGGAATGTGGAGAGTTTAAGTTTCTTATTCTTTTTATTTTGTAATTAATACTTTAAAACATGGGAGGACATGGAGATTGTTGATAAAAGAGGTAACGAATTAACAGTCAAATATTTTTCAAGTGTGAGTTCTTTATGTTCATATCAAATTTGTTACAAGAAGATGCTAGTGGTGAATGCAAGGACCTAAGATCAAATTCCGCATTCACCTCTCCTGAAGGTGTAGTGTGTCCTTGGCATAATTAAGTTATTTATTGATTGTAATCTGAAGGGTTTTCCTATATCAGCTATCTAAGACAAAAAAAAAAAAAAAAAAAATTGTTACAACTAAAAAGGAGTTGTTAATTCTAAATTCCGCCAATTGCCCATTTATGAAGCTAAAGCACCTTGACATCATGACAACACTTAATAAAAAGAAACATAGCCATTTTGCCAACCTTAAATGAGCATAATTAATTACCAACTAAGTCATAGATGAAGTCAACAGCAAAATCAGGGAATGAAATTGTATCACAGGTCAATGATGAAAAAAATTTCATGCTAAAGTAATAATGCATTAAACAGATAAGATGGGTATGGTGGAAACTCACATCTTTCCTGTATATTGCCCCCTGGAAATACACCAGTGTAGAACGATCCTCATATGAAGCTGATTTAGCTGTTGGTATGGTGCCTACTAGATGCCTATAGGGGGCTATTATATCTTTCTTGAGATTTGCTAATTCAACAGGATACCTTCCAAAATCTGCAAGCACAAGCATAGCCGAACCCAACTTCCTTCTTGCATTCAGCATGCTATTAGGATGGTGAGCTACAATTACATGATCCTTCCCTCCTGAAAGTTGCCATTCTTTTTGGCGCATTAAGAACTGTACCAACCTGTCTTGCAACATTTTGTTAACATTAACTTTTTCCTCTCCATGAAGCTTGGAATGCCGATTGTAACTCAGAGATGAGAAAAACGGCACAAAAATTACATCTGCTTGACTTGAGTTCTGCACTCTGATTGCAGCGAAAGGTTGGCCAACTTTTGCAGTGTTTGATGACAGAAGATCAAGGGTGAGCCAGTATTCAACACTGTGCTGTAAGTTCAGTCCACCTGGATAGCGCGGGATACGTTTAGGGTTATCCACCTCTGGCCATGTTTGATTCACACTTCCCTTCCAACCCAATAACCCAAAGTGAAATTCTGGAGGCAAGTCATACATGAATACTTTCAACAGAGACCGAGTTGTGTCAGAAGCCATATTCATCTGCTGTCCTACGGAACTTGTTTTCTGGCTTGAATTGGAAACTAGACAATTAGATTCTCTAGGTTTATGTGATTGAAAGTTTAAATCCTCATAAGGATAGGGAGGTAGTATAACTTCTTCCTTCTTCAAATTGGGCATGAAGTAAATTGATGTGTTATTGACAAGAATAAGCTCTAACACTGATCTAGGTATCAAAGAATGACTGCTAAACTGGAGTAGGAAAAGGGAAGACAGGACCAAAAGGAACATAGAAATGAGCATCACGCAAAATATAAACCTTGAGGGAACCATGCTTTTCTCTGACATTGTTGAAGATCAAGATCTATTGAAAGCAATCTTCCGGGGAATACAGTAAACAGAACAAGACAACAACATAAAATAGATAGAGCTGCTCAATGGTATGCTATTTCTCCAAACACACAAAGCAAAGAACTTGATGGGAATTATGGTTTTAAATATAAGCCCTCCTCAATCTGCATCCACAAAGAAAGACCATACCCACCCATTAGAAGCTTCTCAACCTTCTACAGTATTGGAGAAGAAGATCTCCAACAGTTTTCATGTACAATTACTTGCCATATACAAAGCAGTAGAAAAACCCCACTTCTTATAGAAGACATTGATGAGATATACTATCAACTTTCAACCAACAAGGCCTTTGAAATACAACCAGTGTTGAGTCTATTCAAAACTAGTAATAAACAAACATAACCAAAACAAGAAAGAAATCTCAAGCATTTTAGTTAACAAGCTTAGGAATTGCAACCATAAGAAACCTAAGAAAGGGTACCTGATGGATGAGGTTGATGCAGCACTAACTCCATCACAGTGCCCTGTCTTCGGATTTGGACAACAGAGGAAAAAAGGAAGAAACTTTCTGAACAAAGGTCTATGCTTTGCTTTGTTAGTGATGTAGGCCAACATGTGTAATGTGAATGCCATCACATTCATTTATTGTTCTATTATTAACCTTTCTTGTGGAATTCAAATACCCATTAAATAAATATATAATATTATTTGTGTCTCCTTAACAGTTGATCTTCTGGAATAGTTCGACACAGGGAGAAGCTCTCCCAAAATCATTTTCTTTTCCATTTTCAATGCTGAAATTCGAGATCTCTGATTAAGATATACAAATTCTTTACCAATTGTGTCAATAGTATTTTATAATATATAATAGGAAAGTAATATGTTATTTACTTCTTAATTTATTCATATTTTCTTTTTTTTGGCTGTTTATAATGAGTAAAGGAACTCGCTTCCTGTCTCTGACTTTATCAGCAAAATGCACCGCGTGTATGTATATAGGAATTAATATTTTTTATGTGACTAAAGTTATCTCATATAATTCAAAATGGCGTTGTTGGGGTTTAAAATAAAAATAAAGAGTATTTTAATACAATAATTTTATAATAGGAAAGTAAAATTTTTAAAATATTCTTTTAATTTTTATTTTAAATCTAAAAATAATATTGTTTTAAAATTGTAAAATATAATTTATCTTGTGTTAAGATATCTGAAGAAATTATTTTTTTGAAATATATATATTTATATATATATATATATATATATATATATATATATGAGGCAGGATCCTTTGACACCGGTGTCAAAGAAAAAGTTTGACCCCGGTTCTGAGAGCCGTTAGATTAAAAAAAATCAACGATTCTGATTTGTAAACATGTGACACCATTGATTTTTTTTAATCTAACGGTTCCCAGATGAGGTGTCAAACTTTTTCTTTGACACCGGTGTCAAAGGATCATGTCTTAGTGTCAAAGGATCATGTCTTATATATATATATATATATATATATATATATATATATCGTTGATTTTTTTTAATCTAACGGTTCTCAGATGAGGTGTCAAACTTTTTCTTTGACACCAGTGTCAAAGGATCCTGTCTCTATATATATATATATATATGTTGTGTTAACAATTTTGCGTCCAATAATTTTATGCGGAAAGTCAAAATCTTGATTTGTACAAGGATTGTGTTAGATAATCTTACTCAAAAGAAACCACTGATTGGCTGTGAGAGTCGGCAAATTCCCAACGCTGCACGCCGGATGAGACTTTTCTGGTTCACATAATTTTATTGATGTGAAATAAATAGGTATTATCATGTATATGAATTTCATTCTCACCCCAAAAGTGAGAAAATAAAAACTAACAAAAGAATGGGTTTGAAGATAGAGGAAGGATATTCTTACTACTAAAATTTTTTATTACCAATACTACCTATCTAATCATCATTGAATCAAAAAGAGAGAATGCTAAAAAGTTTTTGAAAAAAGAGAAAATATTGTTCCAATGATAATTAGATAGGTAGTGAGTTGGTAATAGAAGATTTTGGTTGTAAAAATATCCTTTTTCGAAGATATGTTTTAAATTGTAACCTTAGGTTTCTATTGCAGTTGGTTCACGCAGAAAATGAACAAGATATATACCTGTAAAAGCAAGCCATTTTTAGTCCGATTATTTGGAAAGGGTTGGTTGAGCGTTGATAAAATTCTAATTTTCTTATTTATTTTAAATTTGTATATGGGAGAGATTATATTTATTATTATTTTTTTACTATCTCTTACTACTAAATTTTAACGGTTAATTTCTATCAATCTAATAGTTATAATTTATTGATAATTAATAATTAATTAATAAATATGACTGAATAAATTACAACCATCAGATTGACAAAAATCAACAATTAAGATTTAGTAGTAAAAGGTGGTAAGAAAAAGAGGCAATAACTATATCCTTCCTCTTTGTATATTACAAACAATAAATCTATGGGATAAGTTATTCTACCTACCCTACCCCTCTCCTATACCGTTAGATCATAATCTCAAGAAGAGAGAGAAAGATAAATGTTAATTAAGATTCTGATCTAACTGTGTTGGAGAGTAGCAGCCAAAAAAAAATGATAGATACAATAAACTATTACTATATTATCTTATAGAGTCATTCTGTCATTTCTATGAAAATTTTTGTTACGTGTAATTCATACAACGATCTGAATTCTTTTGAAAATTGTAAATTTTTCATCAGCAAGTTTTAAAAAAAATTATATAGGTCACATACAAATTAATAAAATTAATTTAAATTCTAATTTTGAATTTGAAATTTGAATTTAAATATAGTCACAAAATTATATTTGATGACAATGGAGAAAATTAAGGAAATCAATTAATTAGATTGATTGACTCAAATTAAAGAAACCAATTAATTATATTGACTAAACTTAGAAAAATCAATCAATTATTTACAAAAAAAAAAAAATCAATCAATTGGAATGATTGAATAAAAAAGAACAAAAAATTACCCAATATGATTGGGATTGATGGAGCGCTAATAAGATAATTCATTAGCTATCATATTTAGTTTTTCTTTTTCCTTATTTAAATAAGACTTTTTTTTATTTTGCTCCATCCAAAACCCTAGCCGAAACTCACTACCAATTAGGGTTGGCAAAACGGGCCAACCTGGCTCAACCCGACCCGACCCGACCCGCATGCAACTCGAAAAAAATGAGATGGGTTAGGGTTGGCTTGAAAAAAAAAAGCCAGAAAATCCAATTCATCCCGAACAGAGTCGGGTTATGGTTGACTCAAAAATATGGCTCACGGGTTGGCTTAAAAAAATAGCTCGCGAGTTGGCTCGAAAATTGCTGGTGGGTTGCCTCGTTTTCAGCTTATTTAAATGAACATGTAGTATTAATGCACTAACTATGTGGCTTCCATCAGCTTAAACAAAGGGCTACAAAATGAGAAATAAAAGCAAAATATTCTAGTTTCAAATTTTCTTCGCAATAATTTGCACCAACATCAAGATCAAAATCACTTGCTACCAAGTGAGTAAGATATTTGAACCAAACAGAGCAAGAACAACCTAACAATATAAAAAAGACTGGGATGTGAGAAGATTAGAGACTTAGGTTTAGAGAAAGAAGAAAGATGACGACAGCATGTGAGTTTTTTCCATTTTTGTATAATATATTGTGTACTTTTTTATTAAAAAAAAAAACTCAACCCGGGAGCTGACTCATTTGACACTGGCTCGTTTTTTTCCGAGCTGGCTTGGGTCAGGTTGACAGCTCATTTTTGCTAACCCAACCTGATGGGTTGGCTCATTTTTTCCAACCTTACTACCAATAATTACCTTGTGCAATGGGACGAGACAGTAGCTGAAGAATTAAGGAATAATATTAGTGGTGCAACTTTCGTTATAGGAAATTATATTGGCCATAAAGTTTACATTCCATGAATGAATATGATTTCATGAAATCCTTACATCCCTTTGAGATTCGAAAGAAAGCAACATCCATTTAATTTATGCTTTGTCATGACCATTAATAAGAGTCAGGGTCAATCTCTTTCTTATATTGAATTATTATTACCAAAACCTGCTTTTATTCATGAACAACTATATGTTGTTGTTTATAGAGTAAAATCTATAAATAGTTTGAAGATTTTAATTTTAAATAAATATAGAAATTCATGTAAAAAACTAATAATGTTGTTTACCAAAAAAAAATGTATTAAAAGATTTGAACTCTAATACATGAGTCTCTGGTCTTTTATTTAAATTTAGTAACATTTATTATATTCATATTTTCTTCAAATTTTATTTTAAATTTTATTTTTATGTATTTTACAATTTTTAACATATAATATTCATATTAATCTGTAATAAAAATTATTACATCATAAACTCTCGTGCATCGGGTTAAAGAACTAGCAGCATGAAATAAAGGACATGGTGAATTTAAAGTGAAAAGAGCAGGAACTCACGGGAGAAAAAAATGAGTCTTCAACTCAATAAAGATCAATTTACTAAAATAATTTCAATTCATACTTGAAATCAACCGACTCAAACATCTCATCTAATTCACTAGCAGCTACTTTATTATTTACCTCCAATCAATATTCCCCTATTCTCTGCTCTAACATAATTAAAATAAAAAAACACAGAAGAAGAATTTGAAAGATATATGATGGTATTGGGATGTAAATGAGCTGGGTCGAGGTAAATTTTAGTTTAAATGAGTCAAGCTTATGAAAAATATTTTGAGCTTGGCTTGACATATTAGCCTGGTACGAGTTAAATTTAGGCTTAGTTTGATTTGTTTATAAAAAATTAAAGACTTGACTTGATCTTGCTTTAACTCATTTATAGTTATAAAATATTTTTTTTCAAACTCTCGTACGTCTAAATGTTGAGACTATAAATGTATTAAATTGTGTATTTCTTCGTTAGAGGAAAAATAATCATATAACTCACCAGTCCACATATAATTACATTTTTTATTCTATCTAACCGAAACAAAAAAAAATAACATTCTTAATACATTCAATTCCACCATTAGAGATTTGATTCATGGCTAATTTAGAACCAATTCAAGATCTATTAAAGTCGAGACTTCACGATGATAGCTAGAGAACTTGTTTGTGAAACTATGACCATGAGAGCATGCCAGTAGACAATAGTAAAAAAATAAGGTTAAAAAAATAAGGTTAATAATTCAGTGACATAAAAATATATTATTTATTATAATAATATATCAGACCAGCTCACGGGCTTTCAAGCCAAGCCTAGTTAAATTAGGCTTGGGCTTGTTTGCTAAACAAACTTTTTTTAAAGCTTGAGTCTGTTTTATTTAAAAAAAATCAGGTCAAGCCAAACTTAAAGCAAGTCAAGTCTTAGATCCCTAACAAGTCGTTCGGCTCATTTACACTCCTAATGGTAATTCAGTTGGCATCAGAAAACTAAGTAGCTGAAGGTGAGAATATGTGTTCGGTTCTCTCTAGTATTATCTTTGGAGAGGAGTTTAAAACTTTATACTCAAGATCCGCCCCAAATCGGACTAGTCATAAAGTGATAAATCAATTGAAATATCTATAAAAAAAACC